CAGGGGTGGGGGTGGGGGGAAGAAAACTCAGGAAAGTTGGGCTTTAAACGAAGTAGTGAAACAGCTGGAGGCTCAAGAAAAGGTGATCAGATCCTGCCGGAACATAAAAAAACTAGTTAATCTGACATGAAACATGATATTAAAAAAAGTAACCTGAAATGCAATACCCAAGAGAATATTCCAAGAAAGGCCCGAAACGTGGAACAGGAAGTGAGTGGTAGATCTTTTCAACAGACTGGTTTCAGATCGGCTTTAGAAGAACGTCGTTAAAGTGACAGGACTAAATGAGACTTCTTTTTTATTTCTCTCAAAGACGACCTCAATAAATATTCCAGGAAGTTGGAATCCTCATCTTGTACGTCCATTTCTCTTCACAACTTAAACTATTCTTTGGCTGAGATTTTCTACCCATGTTACTGAAGACAGCAATAACTGATGTGCGAATATCCCACAGTTTCCCTCTGTCATACTTCCATCGGAGCTTTCTAAAAAAAAAGATTGTACGAAGTGCCATCCCACTCGGCAACATTGCCTTGAAGCTCTAATCTACTGGTATAAGAAAGAAAAAAAGCACTTTCTCGAAGTTTCTTCACGTTAACTGAACTTGCCTTGTGCATAGTTGAAGGAAGTACAACAGAAAACACAAAGATAGAATGCAACTTAAAATATACTGATATACCATGTGCAAACTAACAAAGGTGAGGCTGTCACTTTGTCTTGGTATATTTTGACAGACTATTAAAAAGCAACATTTTGGTGGAATCGGCACACAATATTTTGGGCATTGAGGATGTGGTCAGATTTTCAAAATCTGGGATTGGAAGTCCCAAGACACAGTCACCATTAAACCTTCTCTGTCAATGTTAATTTTTTTTTTTTTTTTAAATTTGATAACCTAACTTTTCTCTATCCTTAATACCACATCTAATTTAGATGGAAAGTCCCAGGGTACCTGTTCTTGCATCTCAGAATTGATTCACTACGCAATTATTAAAAAATTGAATATTTAAAGAAAGCTTTATAATAAACCCTTTAATTTACGTTGTCTGGCCATTCTCTCCCTACCAAAGCAGTATTTACCACTGAGTTAAATTTAATCAGCTCATCTGGTCTTCCTGGAGCTCATCACCAGCCTTCCCACTGTTCATAGTGGATCAGAGATGATGCAAAACTTATTCAATGTATTCAAAATAAGCATCTATTCCTCTGCCTTAAAATAGTCAAGGACCCTGTCTGTACGCCACTCTCAGTGCTCCAAGGACATTCAACCCTTAAAGGCAAAATTCCTCATCCTCATCTTAAATTGGAGGCCCCATATTTTTAAAATAATGACCCCTAGTTCTTGCTCTCCCAAAAGAAATAGCTTCTCACCTGTTGAGCTCCCTCAGCCTCAATGAGATCACTTCACATTCTTCCAAACTCCAGTGGATGCAGGCACAGCCTGTTCAACCTTTCTCCGCAAGAAAAGTCAGACACTACCTTAACCCAAATCCCATGCACATCATGAGAATTTTCCAAAATGCTTCCAACACATTTACATAACTTTGAAAAAAAAAAGCAAACAAAACAAAACTATGCTCAGAACTCTAGACGTGGCCTCACCAGCTCTTGATGCACTACAACGTACAGCAATAGCCCTACTCAGAAATCCCATTCCCCTTGCAATAAACACTAACTGCCTTTCTAAATCACTTTGTATATACCCGCATTCTCATTTTGAGATTCATTTACCACAAGACCCAGACACATTTATACTTCGAGTCCTGCAATCCCTTAAAACAATGATTCTTATGTTTCCTGTTAAAGTGGGCAAGTTCACATTTCCGTACTTTATATTCCTTCTGCCATTTGTTTTGCCTACTTGCTTAAACTGTTTTATTCCTTTGCAGACTCCTTACGTCCTCTTCACAACTTACTTTCCTACTTATCTTTGTCCCATCAGTAAAAGTGTAGCAACAGTAGAGATAAGTCAGCCATCTATATACACATATTGTAAATAATTGAGAAAATAACATTGGGTCAATAGGTCCACCCAGACATATCAGCACAACAATAATAGTGAGACAAGTTGCAATCATACAGTCAACTGCCCTAGGATAGTTTCAAGGTAGAGGCACAGTGGTAGTGCCTCTGGACTAGCAAGACAGGACATAACTAATATTTTGGGGAACCCAGTTTAGCTGGAGGAACTTCAATTAAATTTTTTAAAAATCTGCATGTCAAAAGTTAATTAGTGGTCACCATTAGTGAGACTATTTGTCTTAAAAACCCAATTCACCAATGTCATGCAGGGAAGGACATTTGCCCTGATCTGGCCTAATTGTGACTCCAGACCCATAGTGCAGTGGTTGGTTCTTAACTGCTCTTTGAAAATGGCAAATCAAGTCAGTCAGTTCTACAGCAATTAGGGATAGGCAACAAATATTGGCCAGATTAGCGATGTCTATATCCCATGAAGCATTAAAGAGAGATAGGACACACTGTAGAACACTAGGGAGGTCTGATGCTCATTGTACCACAAGAGACGAAAGTGGATAATCCAAGGTGCAGTTCTTTCATGCTGCTCAAGCAATGGAAGCCAGAACAGAAATAACTTTCCTTAGAAAAATAAATTGGAATTCCATCTGGTTTGATGAAGAGTGCTGAAACTTCCTTAAAGTCACAAAAAAAAATCGTTAGTAACGGTGCTGCCCAATCTATTATTCTGTTCTTCAATATTTAACAGAAGACCATACATCAAACACTTCAGTCTTCCCAATGCCACTGTGCGGAATAGACTAGTTTAATTCCATTATCATCTACCCAGACATTACTTTGAGCCCCACACGGATCCACCCAAATGCTGCCAGACTCGTTTTTTCCCTCAGCAACTTTTGTTTTTGTTTGATTTCCACCATCTGCAGTTTTTTTGGGTTTGTGTTTAGGGAGTCCCAGGATGTTGATCCAGCAAAGTGAAGGAACAGCAATACATTTCCAAGTCAGGATGGTGTGCATCTTGGAAGGGAACTCTCAAAGTGGTGCTCCCATGCATCTGCTGTCCTTGTTGAGTTACTGCAGAGCATCTTTTAGGTGGTGCACAGCTGACACTGTGCATCAGTGATGAAGGGAGCGAATGTAAGAGGCATTAGTTAATGTGACAGTCAATGGGTTGTTTTGTCTTGGATAGTGTGGAGCTGCATCCATGCAGATAAATGGACAGTATGTCAATTGTTTCCCGAGTTGTACTGTGTAGACCAATGCTTTCTCCCTCACTTTGAGGCTTGAAAATTGTTATTACCCTTCAGCAATAAGCAAACAGCAAGGGTTTTTACATAGAGACCAATGGGAGATGGGGAAGTGGAGAGAAGATGGGGAGAGACAACTCCACAGCACTTAATGTCTAGGAGCTCACGACTCCAGAATCTCAGACTGAGATCACACTTGATGCCTTAACTGCGACTTTGAAAAGCTCTATTGAAGAGAATGGGCAAGCATTAGGAAGTTACTGAACCATTATCAATATCTTTGTTATTGCTTGACTAAGCCACTGAATATGTTTCCCCTCAATTCATTCATGGATTGTATGCACTGGAATGGCCAATACCAACTGCCCCTGAACTGTGTGGCTCTACAGGCCATTTTAGACAGCAAAGACAACCACATTGGAGAGAGTCTGGAGTCACATACAAGCTAGTTAAGATAAAGATGGCAGACTTCCTTCATTTAAGAAAATTAGCTAGCTAGATGGGATTTTCTGACAATAGCTACATGGTTGTATTTCACTAGCTTTTTAATTCTATAAAGATCTGGAATTCAAATTTCAATATCTGCCATGGTTGGGTTTCAACCCATGCCCCCAGAACATTAGGGACACTGGATTACAATTGCACAGCATTACCACCTTCCACCACACAAATACTCACCCCTAGCCTCCCATCCTTTATAAACTGGAGCTCAACTAAAGTATTTGTTGGGTTCAAATTCCTACATGCCCTCCCCATCTCCATAAATTTCTCCAGTCCTGGTCTTGGGCACTCACATTCTTTGCAACCAACCCCATCCTCATGTTTAGAGGGTGGTCCTTCAGATGTCTAGGCTCTAAGTTTAGGTAACGCTTTCCCTCAACCACCTTTCATCGCCTCCTAAACCTCTATTTATCCAATAAAAACCAAAAGAACTGCAGATGCTGTAAATCAGGAACAAGAACAAAGTTGCTGGAAAAGCTCAGCAGGTCTGGCAGCATCTGTGAATGAGAAAACAAGAGTTAACGTTTCGGGTCCGGTTCTGAGGAAGGGTCACCGGACCCGAAACGTTAACTCTGTTTTCTCCTCCACAGATGCTGCCAGACCTGCTGAGCTTTATTTACCCAAGCCGTTAGTAACAAAGTCTCTTCATCACCGACTGTCAATGCTGTCCTATGTAATTTTCTCACAAGGCCACTATATAAATGCTAGCTACTGCCTTAGCGTTAGTTGGCTCACCTTCTCTTGTACCTATGTTCGAATTCGGTATTTTTGGGATAAAATGGCAAATCAAGTCAGTCAGTTCTAGAGCAATTAGGGATAGGCAACAAATATTGGCCAGATCAGCGATGTCTATATCCCATGAAGCATTAAAGAGATAAGAAACACTGTAGAACACTAGGGAGGTCTGACCCGAGGGAGGAAAAAAAACTTTACGAAGGGAATTTCCGAAACACAACTATTTTCAACTCGGCACTTTGTACTTAGTTAAAACCCAACAGCAAGCTCAGTTTACAGATGATGTGTCATCACAGACACTTGGTAAATCTCTGGTCCCCTACCCGCATGAGAGAGTTATTATATAAAACACTTACACCACGTGTAATTACTGTGAAAAACACTGAGTAAGAGGAAGCGTTAGTTTACTCACTGTAGCGTCTGCATTTCAAACGGGATGCCACTCACCAATAAGATGCCACGTTTTCCTTTTGCCGTATTTGCCGCAGCCGGCAGTGCGGTCAGACTCATAGCCGATGAGCGGGGTGCAGATTCCGTCCGCTATCTGCCCGACCAGCAACAGGATACCCGCGTTGTAGTTGTTAATGGCCAAGACCGTGTGGTAATAAACCAAGAGATAAGTGAACCACATGGACGCGCACAAGTCATTGAGAAAGTGGCCCACCGCGTACGACAAGCGGGTACAGAGAGGCAAGGCAGGCTCTTCACCTGCCATGGCATTAAATAAACACTAACTAGAATGTCAATAATCTCAAACTGTACAACCTGACCGAACCCCTAATAGTCCTACCCCCAAAACCGAAAACCTCCAGCTTTTACAGCCTGCGGCTTGCAAAACGAAACTGGTAGTCCTTTAAAACAAAAGGTGGGTCTTAATTAGCTAATAATTCACATTAAATTAGGGAGGTGAGCCCAAGGAAGCAGGCTGTTTACAGAAACACACACACTTCACAATGACACATTGCTCTTCCCTGCCCGGCTCCGTGTTTCCGGAAACATTGGTGTGCTTTTGTCGCTACGTTTCAACCCCTCTCCTCCTCCAGCAGCTAATGCAGCTGCTGTTTGACTGGGTAATATATGAGCGGACCGGACGCTCCGCACCGCCTGGGCACAAGGGCGTCTCCCCCTTCGGGAGCCGGGCTGCGGCCACCAATAAGCGGCGGATCGGGGCGGGACCTCCGCTGCTGTGAAAGCTGCCCATAGCTGGCTCTCACTTCGGGAAAAGGACGTACAGAATTACGTCCTTAGTCCTTGATTAGCCAACTCGGAAGCTGCACTGAGAACCCGAGTTAGCAAATCTCAAGGAATAAATTTTTAAAAATGACATGTGTGTGTGTGCTTTTTTAAATTGTATTTTTTTCTGCATGTTGTTTCCATAGAATTTTAGGGACGGTCGATTTCCTTAACTCCCAATCTCAATGAACTATCCTGTATTTTATGAATGTACAATTTCTGTGTGTCGCTTTTTTCAGTTTTTTAATGCATTTTCTTTTCACAGAATTGCAGGGACAGTCGAGTTCCTCTATTCCTAATGCCTCAATCTCAATGAAATATCTTACACTTTATTATAAATGCACAATCTAAACACTATCAGAAAGCGAAGTTGCGTATTTTTGTTTCAATTTGGTCGCCTTCATCCCATCCAAGTATAGACGATCTTTAAGAGTAAGAAGATCACCCAATCGAGGATTTATCCACCACTGTATGAATATTTCCCTGGGACCAGCCAGTTTAATTCTGTTATACCAGGGAGTGCTCAGCTCAGTCATCTGGTCCTACTCTTCAGATGAATCAACACACACACAAAAAAAACTGGCAACTGGCATTATGTCCCATCTCTCAGAAATAAGAATTGCCTGTTGTCTAAAATATTTGTTCCTTCACATTTGTATGTGTGAACCTGGATCCTCTGCAATCTGTCCAATTTAAACCATTTCTAGTATCACACAATTTAATCATTATTTTGTAGTCTTGATTAAAAAAGTTGCCTCAGTTTATGCTTCTCTGAAATAACGGCATTAGTGATTTTGAGCAGTCTGGACAGTTAAGGCATAGTGAACTGAGAATCATTCACTGATAAGACCATGAGAAGTAAGAACAGATGTAGGCCCATTGAGTCTCCTCCACCATTCAAATGAGATCTTCAACTCAACTTTAATGTCTTTTCCTCTAACCTTTCATTCACTTACTGATTAAATATCTACCTCAGCCAGGAATATACTTAACAAACCAATCTGATTTGATTTGATTTGATTTATTGTGGTCACATGAACTTAAATACAATGAAAATGTTTGTTTTGTGAGCAGTACAAGTAGATCATAGCAAACAAGGAGATACGGATCAAAGGGTGCTTAGACACAGTGAGGCATACAAAGTTACAGCTATAGAGGGGGTGCATAAAGCAAGATCAACATTAGCAAGATCAACATTATTTGAAGTTAGAGAGGTCCATTCAGAAGTCTAATAATGGCAGGGAAGAAGGTGCTCCTGAACCAGTTGGTGAGTGTTTTCAAGCTTCTGTATCTTCTGCCTGATGGAAGAGGTTGGAAGAGAGCATTACTGGCGTGGGAAGGATCTTTGATGATGTTGGCAGCCTTTCCACAACAATGAGAAGTGTAAATGGAGTCCTTGGACGGGAGGTTGGCTTTGATGATGGTCTAGTCTGTGCACACAACTTTCTGTAGTTTCTTAACAGTCCTGGCCAGAGCAGTTTCAGTACCAGGCCATTATGCACCCGGATAGAATGCTTTCTGTGGCACATCTGTAAAAGTTGGTGAGGGTCCTAATGGACATGCTGAATTTCCTAAGCCACCTGAGGAAAAGTCACCGGACCTGAAACGTTAACTCGGTTTTTTACCTTTACAGATGCTGCCAGACCTGCTCAGCTTTTCCAGCAACTTTGATTTTGTTCCTGATTTACAGTATCCGCAGTTCTTTTGGATTTACTGAGGAAGAAGAGGCCTTGTTGTACCTTCTTGATTGTTGCATCTACGTGGGACGTCCAGAACAGATTGTCAGTTATTGTCACTCCTAGGAACTTGACACACTTGAGCCTCTCCACCTCAGCTCCGTTGACATAAATGGTGGTGTGTCCTTCTCCTTTGTTCCTGAAGTCAATGATCAGTTCTTTTGTTTTGCTGACATTGAGAGAAAGGTTGTTATCATTGCACCATGACACCAAGCACTCTATTGCCTTCCCGTATTCTGACTTATTGTTGTTTGTTATCTATGCTATCATGGCAGTGTGGTCAGCAAACTCTTAGATGGCATTCGTTTTGAATTTTGTTACACAGTCATGGGTTTACAGGCAGTACAGTAGAGGGCTGAGAACACATCCTTGCAGGGCGCCAGTGTTGATGGTCATCTTGGGGGGGGTGCTGTTGTCTATCTTCACTGATTGTGGTCTGTTGGTCGGGAAGCTAAGGATATAGTTGCAGAGGATGGAGCCGAGACCTAGGTCTCAGTATTTTGAGATTAGTCTAAAAGGGATTATGGTGTTGAAGGTGGAACTTCAGACAATGAGTAGGAATCTGACATAGGTGTCCTAGTTATCCGCAATTCCAGGGATGAGTGTAGGGCTAGGGAAGTTGCATCCACTGTGGATCTATTTCATCGGTAGGCAAATTGCAGGGGATTGAGGCAGGCTGGGAGGCTCGAGCTGATGTGGGCCATAACCAGCTTTTCGAAGCACTTCATGATTATGGAGGTCAGTAAAGAATTCCACAAATTCACTACGTCAGAGAAAAAAATCATCCTCATTACTGTCTAAATGGATCACTCCTTATTCTGAGATTATGCCCCTCCTTGATTCTCCCACAAGGGGAAACCTTTCCTTAGCTACCCTGTCAAGTACTCTAAGAATCTTATATGTTTCAATAATGTCTCCTCTCATTTTTCTAAACTCCAATGAGTACACACCCAAACTGCTCAACCTTTCCTCATAAGACAATGTCTCCATTCCCAGGCTCAAACTAATGAAGCTTCTCTGGACTGACATTAATGCTAACATACCTTTCCTCAGGTAAGAAACCCAAAACTTGTTCACAGTATTCCAGTCATTGTCTGACTAGTGCCCTCTATAGCCTTATTAAGGCCTCCATTTGTTTTTATACTCCATTCCCTCTGAAATAAAAGCCAACATTTAATTTGTCTTCACTATTACCCACTGAACTTGTATCCAAGCTTTCTGTAACTTATGCAAGAGGACTGCCAAATCTCTGTGTGCTGTAGCTTTCTGTAGTCTTTCTCCATTTAAATTCCTCCCAAAGTGCAATGCTTCGCACTTTTCTAAATTATATTCCAACTATCAAATTTTTGCCTATTTCCTTAACCTATCTGGATCCCTCTTTGTGTCATCCTCACTACCAACCTTTCCTTCTTTTATGTATCATCTGCAAACTTGGCTATTGTATGTTCACTTTCCTCATTAAAGTTATCATTATAATTTGCAAATAATAGTGGCGCCAGCTCTGACTTCTGTGGCACTCCACAAGTTACATGTTGCCATTCTGAAAATACATGCCACCACACCCCCACCCCAAATCTCTGTCTTCTATATAGTTAGCTATTTCTCTTCCATGCTGGTATAATACCTGCAACACCATGGGTTATTATTAAATAGTGTGTGAAAACTTCTCAGATTCTTCTAAAAATCCAGATATTACAACTACTGCTTCCCCTTTATCAATCCTGCTTGTTACTTCCTCAAAGAATTCTAATACATTGGTCAGGCATGATATCCCTTTCAAGAAGCCATGCTTACTCTCCTTAATTACATTACATATTTCTAAATACACTGCTATTACATCCTTGATAATAGACTAACATTTTTCCAAAAACAGAAGTTAAGCTAACTGGTATTTAGTTGTTTCCTGGAAACAAAACAGAAGTTGCTGGAAAAGCTCAGCAGGTCTGGTAGTATCTGTGAAGGA